AGGGAGGGGAGGCGAGTCACAGGACCCGCCCCCTCACTGTGAAGCCCGTCGGCAGTGCGGGGACCCGGTGTTCGAACACCGGGACCCTGCACTGCCCCATATTGCAGGACCGGACCGCACTGAGACTGTGCGGCCCGGTACCATTTGATCCGCGGACCGGTACCAGTCTGCGGACCGGGAGTTGGGGACCACTGGTCTAAGGGACAAAACAGAATGATTTTCTTAGCTCCACCTACTATCCTCAAATGAGAAATAAACCTTTTTGTTATTAGTTAGGGTACTTGAATACATTTTTAAGATTTAACTCCTGAGTTTAGTGTCACATCACATTTTGCAGGAGGCATGGATATACATATACATATACATATACACATATATACATATACATATACACATACACACTTTTTTTTAGCATGACTGTTTATTAATATAAGAAAATACAGTTGACAAAATCTTGTATTATACAGTAATGGTCAAGAAATAAAAGGTTCACAATTAGACAACCACAAAGAATAACACTGCATCTTATAATTGTCAGCAGAGGCATCAAAACCCATTAGAGGTGCATAGAATAGATAAAGAACCTAGACTATCCTCAGATACAAAATTGATCGATAATAATAAAAGGTATTTTAACAAAGACCTCAGATGAAAAGAAAAAAGAAAAAGTAGGTAATCAATTGATAATCTGATTAATAAGAACAAAATAACAGAATAACTGTCTTTTTTTATATAAACTCTGTTTTTATTAATACAGATTCTCCAATAATAATAAAAAACAAACATAAAAAGAAAAAAGGGCATATAGAAAACAATGTTACACAAAACATCAAAACATGAAATGTGGCCATAACAAGGTACATCAATATGCATATCCAATACCATCTGGAGAACAACTGTTCTTAACTGTATCGGATCATTAGATTGTTCAAACATTGTCAAAAAGTCTCATAAATTAGAGAAGAACTGCCATAGAGATGGGTGGGAAGGTAAGGTATGTAGTGGGAAGACATGAACAATATATTTCAAAGAAAAGAAAAAGCTGGAGATAGGAATAAGCCATTAGGGGGGTCTTTGGAAGTGTAGGGGGCATGAATATTAAAAGTCTTATTTTAATGAAAGGGTTGCTTTGAGCCATATCCTGAACCAACATTCAACAACATAATATTATCCACTGACTGGTGAAATCTGAAGACTAGAAATGTGAATACTGTACATGAAACAAGCTTACTCACACTATCAGGTAGTTGGTAAGGAGACATCAATCACAAAGTCAGATACGTTTCTAAATAAACTGTAAAGATAAGAGAATAGTACAAGTTAGCCTGGTGATGATTACTGTACACTAACATAGGTTTAAGAATTAAAATGATGATTATAGTATATATTCAGGAGAGGCGAGGTTCATTTAATTATGTACAGAATATGTCTGTGTAGTCCAGGGAGGAGTTATGCTTTGTTATTATGTAGGTAGCAATGTTATATTTGGCATTTTAAAATCAGTGTTGTCATGTGTATATTTTTAACAAACAAGATATGTTTGATATTACATAATTGTTTCTTTTTTCATCCATATTACACCTTAAAAGCCCCATTCCTAGTAGTTTTTGTTGTGGAATTGCATTCAAAACATATTTGGGTGTGCCAGCTGCATGGTCCTGCACTATACATTGTGGTTCCATCTGTTGGCCCCTACACCAATACTTTTGCAGTGGTGACATAGGAGTCTGTAGCTGGAACCACAAGGCCCACAGGAGGCTAGGCACCCAATATTACATTTCTCTGAACTTTTGGCTGCCGCTACTCCTGGGGAAAAGGCCCTGTGGCACCTTATCCAATCTCTGCCAACTAGGAATGACTGAGGCTTTACCTGCACGTGTGGCAAATGCTTTGCAACAGGACATTGCTACTGTCCATACACAAGTGACAGAGGTGGAAGCTAGAGTCTCTACAGTGGAGGAGGGCCAGTCCTCCCTACGAGGGGCTGTTCATGCTTTGGATCATACATGTGGAGATATGTCTTCTCGCATTACTCAATTGCAATTGCTTGTGGACGATCCGGAAAACCGCAGTCGCAGACAGAATGTTTGTATAAGGGGAATTCCTGAGGCTACCGCACCTGCTGATCTGCGCTCTACTGTTACAGGCAAATTCCCGCTCAGGCATAGCGATCAACAGGGTACACAGAACCCTGGGCCCACGGAATACTTGCATGGCACAGCCGAGAGATATTCTTTGCCACCTTCACTCAAGGAGATTTTTCAGAAAGCCTGGAAGAAGGGCACATTTGAATTTGATGGTGCCTCTATTCATCTTTACCCAGATGTGTGTCTCGCAAAACCTTACAGATGCGGCGAGTGATGAGACCGCTGTTGACGGTCCTACAGGACCATGGAGTTTTGTACAAATGGGGTCCTCCCTTAGACCTTATTGTTCGCAGGTGAAACTCATTGTTCAATCTCTGCCATCACAGTGAACTCTCAGCTTTCTTTGAATTTGTGGACATCCCTCCATTCCCTGATACTGATTGGTTAGCGGAGACATCAGTTACGGAGCCTCCCCTTTCATCCCAGGAACCTCGACACAGGCGCTACCGGAGCTCACGGCGACGGCCTCCTCCATCTGCCTTGGCTCCTCAGGATCCTGAATCTTGAACATTGATGTTCTTCTGATCTTAACGGACCTACCCTGGCTATGTAGGGTCCTGCTGGCGGCTGCTGACGATTTTCAAGCTGGTTATTGTGGTTGTTTGTGTTTTACTCTAACTCCGGTGGCATTGCCCATACCTATGTTGATTGTTTATATTTCTTATACTGGAAAAACTTTCATCTGTGCCTTGTTTTTACTTCTCTCATTTTATGAAGGGGAAGTAGAGGTCGGTGGTGACTCGCTGGCCTCTGCGATCCCCATTCTGGGAGGCCTGGCAAAAGGTCCCCATGCTGGGGGTCTGGGTTTGGACCTCCTGGAATTGCAGGTTGACATATGATGGGACTGTATACCCTTTAATGCCTTCTACCCATGGCTGGGGGGTATGCCTGGGCTCCCTCTCAATCTGTTGTGCTTGACACCTTCAGATAATGGTTAGGGTCCCCTCTGGGGGACTCTGGGTTGAGATGGTTGCTCATGGCTATCCTGATCAGCTGTCAATTGATTTTTATCACTAGGTGTTTAGATGGTTTAGATGTCTTAGAACTGTTACATCATTTCATATATTACTGTTACCTTATGTTTTAGAGGTCTTATAACTGTTACATCTTTTCATATATTAGCTGACAGCAGCTTTACGGGACCAAACAGAGGCCTTTTACCAATGCTGGTTCTACTGGGATCTGTTTGCTGATTCCTCTGAGTACAGGGAGTTGCCCTGAGGGGCATAGCGGAGGAGGTACATCTGGTTCATAGGCGAAGGGTCCTTCCTTTTCATCTCTCTTTTGCTGTCCTCTTTTCCTCCCTTTGGCACCACACACCATATTTCCTCTTCCTTTTTCTTTCTCCAAAAAGTATCTGTTTTCATAAGGTTTTTTGGGGGCGCAGGATGATTTATGTTGTACCCACGTTTCCTGATGTATGTGCACTAATGGAAATGTAATACGATTATAGATTACTTTAGCCTCGGGATAGTGTCTTTAATGATCATGTTTGGTTATTGGTGATTTTGTTAAATAAAGATTGTTCATACTACGCTTTCCCAACTCCTCCAAAAGTATAGCCAGAAACGTTTATAGTGAATTGGACCAAAATAAATCAAAAAGCCCTCCACTGAATCAGTGTGTAGCACAGTAGATCCTTTTTAGAACAGAAGGTATTCACATGTCTCATTCCATCATATATCTCAGAAATAAGAGGTTTGTTTCTCATTTTAGGATAGTAGGGGGAGCCATGCAAATCATTCCTTTATGTCCCTTGGCTTACTGTACATCCAGAACCACTGATGTATAGCACAGATGTAATCTAATATTATATAGTCACTTATTCTAAACTGCATACCATTGTTTTAGGCTTGTTCCACAATCCTTAAATGAGGATTTCTTTATTTATGGCATACGTGATGGAATGAGAAATGTAAATACCTTCTGTTCTACGGTGCTCTATGCACTGGTTTAGTTGGGGGTCTTTTGGCTCCTTTTAGCCCACCTCACTGCATCCTGCCGGAATATACTCTTTTGTTGGTCCCCTCCCATGCACTGCACTAAATAGAGTCTTAAAACAGCTGTCCCTTTGTGATTAGACATGTCTCCTCCTTTCTCTCCTAACATAGAAATAAATAATAACAAGGCACATTAATGATGTAGGGGCGAGTATAATGAAACTCAGCACGGGACTGGGACCAATAGCTGTCAGATTCAGAAGATTTCAAGTGACAATGTCTTTATAATACAGCAGGGATTGGCAGCCTGGACAGTGAGAGAGGCGAGTATTAAATATCTCATTTGCAGAGAGCATGCTTTTAATATTTTTTTTTATTTTTTTTATAAAAGAGTTGCTTTAACCCACAACCTGAACCAACATTTAACATTACATTATGCACTAAACTGTGAAATTTAACGACTAGAAATGTGAATACTTGAAATAAACTTGCTCACTATTGGGTACTTGATAAGCTGTCAATCACAAAGTCAGATACTCTAACTGTATAGATATATCACATCTAAATCTGAGACTGATTTGAGTCCTAGATTAGGTTTAACATGATAAGAGAATAGCAGTTAGCCTGTTAATGATCACATGTATGCTCAAGATTAGAAACGGCTATAAAAAGATGAAAAATTAAAGGAAAATATGACCAGCATGGAACTCGTGTGCCTTAACAATATGAAGCTGCTACTGCTGCTTTTGCCTTGTGTTGTGGCTAGTGTCAGTATTTCTAGGAGTCGGTTTGACAAGTATATAACAATATATTTTTATATACCTACCTTTATATCCATCTACTTACCTATCTGTTATAGATTTATATTCATTTTTCTGACTACAGCAGAATCTTTATCTTTACAGTGAAAAATTATTCCACATCACACCACATGATGTAATGGAAGTAAATGTCATTAAACATTTGGATAAAAGAATGAAGGTAAGACCATATTTCACTTTTCTGATATAATCATGTCAGAGTGAAAATTCCAACCTTTGCTTTATTGATTACTGGCATTACAATGTTCAGCAGATATGTAACTATAACTATGTAATTACAGAATGTTAGAGAACATAGTCAGGCTGAGTCACTAAATGAGTTTCAGTTATCCAAAAGTGTGAAGATAAAATAAATAAAAAGAAATCTGCTTTTCACATAATAGTGTGAATATCTACACAATTTATTGTGTGAAAATTATCAACACCTTTAGTAAATCAGCCTCAGTATATCTTTAAAGTAGCATTTAGCCTATGCATGCTGGGAATTTAAGGCTGAAGGTTAGGAATTTTTTTTGGGGGGGTGGGGGGGAGAGTGGGTATACAGCACCAAACATATAGGGTATGCATGTGGGAGCGTATCCCCTCACTTAGAGCAGATTCTTCTGGCTGTAGTCTGAAGGCTCCAGCCTCTCAGGGCATCACTGAGTGTGCGGCTGTGATGGGAGCAATGAGTGGATAATTGTTGCCAGAAGCAACTTCCGCAAGTAAGGGAATACACATCAAAACACATATCCTATGTGTTTGGTTTTATATCCCCCCAATAAATCTTCAGTTTTAAAATGTGCTGATGAACTCAATAACATTTCAAATGAACAAGCAAAAAGTACAAATATATTTTAAAGGTGAACTCCAAAAATATATAAAGGACAAAAATTTATGTAGTTATTATTGAAGTGTATGTATAGCTGAAAATATTTTTGTTTTGGATATATTCTAATTCTAAGATTTTCTCTTACTTCTCGTTCTGGGGATAACTCTAAGGGGTCTATTCACAAAGCTGCCGAAGGCAGCCGTGTGAATAACCGACGCGAAGTGAACCGAACGCTGTTCGGCTATTCACTTCAGGCTTGTACGGCTGATTTCAGCCGTACACCGACTGAAATCAGCCGTACATCGGCTTGATGTGGCTGGGTTCGGGTCGGCCGAAAATGCTCAGCATGTTCGGCCGACCCGAAGTGCAGAAGGAGTTCGACTCAACTGATCCAACATCTGGATCATCTGAGCCGAACCTGCGGCAGGCTACTCGCTGCTGTTCAGCCTATTCTCATAGGGGCCGAACAGCAGTGAGTGAATAGCCGAATGCCGCCGAGCGGCATTCGGCTCGGCTATTCTGCTCGGTAACTCACTGGTCCCGAACAGAATAGAAAAACAGTTTAAGAAAAGTAGAAAAAAAAGGAAAACGATTAGCAGAGCCGGAGGTGATATGAAAGCTGACCATGGTTCTCATGGTACTGACAGATCAGCGTCCCCTGGTTACCAAGAACTGTCAGTACCATGAGAGCACAGCAGAGTCGGCTTTCATATCACCTCCGGCTCTGCTAAGCTCTCATTGTAATGCAGTGGGGAGAGCACCCCCCTGAAATGATGGCAGATAGCAGAGGAAGCAATAGCTTCTTTGCTATCTGCAAGTTTCTTTTTTTTTAGTATTCCGACAGCTGCTGCTGTCAGAATTGTAAAAAAAAAAAATCAACATTAGGAATGCATAGCTAGATTCCTATTGGCTATTTCAATTTGCAATATCCAATAGCAAGCTGGCTATTGCCCCCGCCCTCTGCAGCTGTCAATCACTAGAAGAGGACCTGATGGAGAACTTCAGGTCCCCTCTGATGATTGACAGCGGCAGTGGGCGGGTGCAATAGCTAGTTTGCTATTGGCTATTGGCTATTGCAAAGTGAAATAGCCAATAGGAATGTAGCTATGCATTCCTATGCTGTTTGTTTTTTTCCGACTGATGGCGGCCGGCTGCTCCGATGTCAGAAGAAAAAAAAAAACACAGCAGGGTAAACCTTTCCGGGAGAAAGTGTTTCTCTCCTGGGCAGTCAGGAGCCGCTATCTAATAGTGGGAAACTCCCGAGCGTCCGGAAGAGTAATGACAGATCAGCATCCCTGGTTACGCCGATCTGTCAATAAACTGAGAACCCGCAGAGCCGCCGTGATATTACGGCGGCCCCACCGGGTTCTCAGTGTATTAACAGATCAGCGTCCCTGGTTACCTGGTAACCAGGGACGCTGATCTGTCTCGGCAAGTGGCCGGAGCCTTTCATATGCCTTCGGCTCAACTGATCCGCTTGGCCAACTTCTGGAGCTCTACGGGCTATAGTGAATAGCCCGTACAGCAGCCATTTGGTTCTACTGAACCAAAGGAGTCCTGGGGCTGAAGCTAGCCGAAGGATCAGCCGAAGCTAGGGCTAGATCCTTCGGCAGCTTTGTGAATTGACCCCTAAAACCTTTTTTGGTAACAATGGTCACTAGTAGAAATAAAAGAGTAAATATATCCCCAGTGGGGACACAAACAGAAGCACAACTGAACAGAGAGTCTAACACTTCCCCAATCTATAAAAAAAAAGGTTTTGCCTAGAGATACACTTTAATATACCATAAAATGTATGTTTTTAGAATTAGCCAATTTAAGTACCTAAACTTGACACGTTATCAGTCTTTTGGAGCACTTGTACAGCAGAGCTCAGAGGGAGATGGGAAGAAGCAGCGCATGGCGCTGCTGTAATCAGTTGTGCTGCAATGCAAGGATGATGTTGATTGGTAGAAACCGTGACAGATGATCTCATCAGTGCTTCTCATTTTAACCTCGTCATAAATTTAATCTGCAGTTAAATCTAACATTAGTGTTTATGTTACATTCTTCTTGCATTGATTGTTTAATTTGTTCTAAAGGTTTGGCTTATTTAGCTTTGAGTGCTAAAGTTTAATAAATAAGACTAAGGAGGAATGATGGTGCTATAACCCAAAGTCACCAATCAGAAAACATCTCTTTTTACTACATACATCTCTTTTTACTAAATAGAAAACATCTCTATTTACTACATAAATAGAAATTGTATTAGTTGAATGCGCTAACCAATAAGTGCTCACCATGTGCGAGTGAAATTCAAACTTCATACCACAGGGCTGTGCTACATGGCAGTAAAGAGTATGGATAGTACATCGGTACAGGAGGAGAAGCGTTTGCCGAAAGGTAAGTATAGCTGGGGGGAGGGGCCAGATAGGAGGGGGTAATTCAATTTTCCCAAATTCTCTTGGGAAACTGGACTTACACTTTCATTCAAGCGGTCACAAAATAGAAATTGTATAGAACTAGCCCACTGAAAACAGGGCTGGTGCTACACTATTTTGTGCCCTAGGCCAGACCAGCTACTTGCATCCCCCCTACCCTGTCATGGATTGGCTGAGGTTTGCAGGAGACAGCCCCGTCTCCAGCGATCATCATCCAATCCTACTGCAGTTTCAGGAAACCAGAGGAGTGAGAGGTAGCAGCTTGTCAAAACTACGCCCAGGGCCGGATTAAGAGCATAATGGGCCTGGTGCTGAGCACCCCCTTAGCACTCAGCACTGTCAGTCGGTCGGACAGAAAGCAGCGGACGTGTCTCTCTAATTAGGTGGCCGCCCTCTCCACCACTGTTGTCACCCACTGACCATGCTGCAACATTCCCCCAATCACACACCCCAAAAAAAAACCCAAAATCAAATTTACCTAAACCCCATCACACACCCCAACAACCCTGGTGAGAGTAACAAGCCAACCAACAAATAAACACAAAACATGTGCCCCTGCCCTGCCCCCGCCAACATAACCCTGCTGACCAAATGCTTCAGGACTACCACATATCATCCACATTACCTCAGGACTGACATAAGACATGCCACACCAAAGGAACACAAACCACCCATAACAACCCACCATACCGAAGGACTCCCATAACACCCTTTTTATACCGTAGGACATCAATAACAGTTCCCTCAATACCTAAGGAACCCCATAACACTCCCCTCATGCCCAAGTACCCCCATAAAACACACCCTCTATCCCTCAGGATCCCCATAACATACTCATACCTCAGAACCCCCATAACGTACCTCTTATAACTAAGGCCCCATAACACTCACTGGCCAGCAGCACTTGGCTGACTTTCTCTATACAGACCCGGGCAGCTGGCACGAGCACATGGCTTACTCTACAGGCCTCGCCCCCACTGCTAATCGGTATGCATGGGGAATGCCTGGGAAGGTGGGGCCTGCTTCTTGGCATGTGGATGTCTCTGTAGTTAGGGGGTGTCAGGCAGTTGTAAAAGGCCAAGATCATGT